GTAAGGACAAAACAGAACGGCAGAAATAGAATTCCCCTAGTCCTCTGCATTGTGACATCCAAACAACGGGGGGCACTGCACAGGAATATTTTCTGTTCCTCAGAGAGAACATGGAGCTGGGGGAGTACTAAAATATGTGCAGGAGGATACAGTGAGAAGCTCCTGCCCTTCACTTAGGATGTCCTATCCCACTATCTGACGATTGCAGGAGCACTGGCACAGGCCCAGAAGGAAGGTATGGACACTACAGGGCTGACAATCCCACCATGTTTATTAGTGGTAAGCTCCAGGAAATGTTCCACATAGCCTTCATAGTTTTCTGGCTTCAGACTTAAATGCATACACGCACACACTCACACCATCGCTTCTTAAATTTCCTTTGAGGTTTCGAAGTACTGCTATTTTACCCTCAGGGGCTACTTCTCTCCATTGGCTCTACAATACAGTCTTTTCTACTATCCCTAATAGCCAGATGCAATTACTGGGAAGAACTATTTTGTTACTGCTTTGATGAGATGAGATGTACAATATTGACCAAGTGGTCTCACTGATATTATCACTAATCTAAAAGATAAGATAAGGCAAGATAAGGCGTTCATTACTTATTCCCTGCTCACATGGAAAGTACCATTTCCCAGGTCAAATGGGTTACTTATCACCTCCATTGAGGACTATAGCTGCACTTCTAATAAGATTAAGAAAAAGACATCTCAGGTATCACTGCATAAAATGACAGCTTGGGTGGGCAAAAGGAGCAAAATTCCAGAAGGGAACTTCTTGTATCTCTGCAGAGACAGGAGATATATCTGCAAACTGAGCCTAACAGCAAAGGGAGGAGAAATCCCATATGGATTTACACACACATGAACATGTGTGTGTAGATACATAAATGTATGTATCTACATGCATATATGTTTATTTGGGTGTGCATGCATTTATGATCTACAAGATTGAAGTCCTAAGTACACAAAAAGAATAAGTGATCTATCTTTCTGGCTTTTTCCCCTATATCCTGCTGTCCAGGTGTAAGCTGTGAAACACATGCACGCTTCTTAGAAAGGGAACTGTTGAACCAGGCAGTTCAGGCTGAGCTGTTGCAGTTATCACTCCATTGAAAATGAGCAACAAATTCAAATAACAGAGGCCATGTTTGATTCTGGATTTTTCTGGGTTTTCTTTCCCTAGTTCCTACCTCCACAGTCTCACCTCTCTTCCACCCTTCCCTGCATACCATAAAGTTATGATGCCCTTAACTATGATAAGAAATGGAATTCCCAGATTATTATTTTAGAGGCTTAAATGATTCTCAGTGGTTTTTATGTGCTTAGCACTTATACGAAGAGGCTTTTTCGTATGTCTTTCAGCAAATACAGAAATAGGCTTGGAGTCAGTATTCATTTTAAGTTTCAACAGATAGTCACATTTATTTCCAAAGATTTCTTTCTTTTCCCCAATTTCACTTTAGCATTACTCTACACACCCATCTATAAACCTGTACCTATCGCAGCAAGCAGAATATCTCCATCCTTAGAGTAATTTTTCTAAAAACATATATACCTGAACAATGCTCACTGCACAAAATTCTAAATACATGTAAGAGTGAGACTGCTGGAACCTTGCATCTCTTCTGCATGTTATTTATTTCCACTAGAAAGCTGAGAGCTTTCTAGTGCTGTCAGTATGGACAATTTTATATTGGATATTTTTCTCTATATAGATGTGTAGCTATTTGCCTTTTCTTTACTTCTCTGTAAATGCCATATGGACAGAAATCATTGAGTCACCACATCGTACATTTATTTTTATGATATATTATGCTGTTTGGTGTCGTGTTGACATCTAATTGATGTTGGTTTTGCTTTTTTTTTTTTTTGTCTTTGTTTTGTTTCTTGGTTTCAATAAAAAGAGAATTTAAAAAAGGCTGTAGAATGATGACTTAAGGCACTGACAGACATGAACATAGCATGCATCTCTTTTATGATGTGCTGCTGAGTAATTGGGTATATATCTAGCTTTAGATAACATATAGGAGACCTCTGAATTTTTACTGTATAGTGAAGTATTTGTATAAGCCTAGCCTATAACCTTAAAAGAACTTTTTTTTTCTCTAGCAAGTATATACCGAACATGCTTTCAATAAGGGCTTAACCCATGATTTAAGAGTCAATAAAGAAAGGTTTTCCATAAAGAAACGAGAAAGCAACAATAGAACTAAAATACAACATACCAAAGATTAAATATGCTCTATCAGCACAACAGTGTCTTTGTACAGTAAAGAGCAGAAGGGGATGATTAATAGTAACATGGTATGTATGTCAAAAGAAAAATACACGCAATTTAGACAAAGTACACACTTATTAACAGAGAACATCATTTACAGTTATTCAGATGAGAAGACGGCAAGGATGAAACTAGCAGAGAATGTATTTCACAATATGAAGTCACATTCATCCTGGTTCAGGGTTTCCCCCCACCACTACAGCTGCAAAATAAAAATTCCTGGTGAAATGCTTGCTGGAGTAAAATTAATGCATAAGTGCCCCGTGACTTCAGTAAAATCAGGATTTCACTCAAGTTACTTTAAGGTGCAGCTTTACTAGGCAAACGTCCTGGATCACCAATGGGAATGGGTCCACATTTCCCCCTGTTCTTGCAGTTCACATACTACAGACACCCACCCACTCCAACAGCCTCTACTCCAACCAGCCTTTCAAAAGAGGGACTGAGGCTACAGACCCACTCTCACTCATCCTTCTTCTGAATGGCCAGTAACAGGGTCAAATATTAGGGCTCTTCCAGGTGGCTTTACCAGGCACTGGGTTTGGGGCACAGAGAGTGGGGAGGGAAAGAGAGAAGAAGGGAAGGACTCAGCACTTTGAAATGAGCACAGAGACCAGGTTAAGCTTAGACCAGTGAAAGGCAAATTAATATGCCCAACAAACTGAGTATCTGCTCAGCACCTCCTCTATATTTGCTAGAAATGCTATAAAAATAACCAGGAGGTGTCCCAGCAGTGTGCCATTTCAGCCTGTTTGTTAGTGAACACTGGGATTCACCTTCCACAAAGAAATACAACTACAGGCAAATAGATTGGATATAAGGAAGAAGTTCTTTACTGTAAGGGTGGTGAGGCACTGGAATGGGTTGCCCAGGGAAGCTGTGAATGCTCCATCCCTGGCGGTGTCCAAGGCCAGGTTGGACAGAGCCCTGGGTGGCATGGTTTAGTGTGAGGTGTCCCTGCCCATGGCAAGGTGGTTGGAACTAGATGATCTTAAGCTCCTTTCCAACCCTAACTATTCTATGATTCTATGATTCTATTTTCATATGCTAAAAAAAAACTACAGGATAGCTCCATAAACACTGCCCACAGTACTCTAATATTTTGAAATAAACCAACACAAAATAAATATGGATTTATAAGAAAGGCAACAAAGGTAAATTTTAAATTAAGAAGGGAGTTTGGAGAAAGTGTAAATTAAGAGAAATTTTAAAACAAATGTTCAACATTAATTCTAGAAATTGCTACCACACCTACTTCGCATATATAATTATACACAAAATGGGAAAGAGGAACAGAAAGAAAATAAGGTTATAATTCCATCAATAATTATTTGGAGAAGACAAAAATTTTTCTTGTCTCACTCTCCTGATGTACTCTATCAGTAGAAACCAGAGAGGGAATTACAGCCTATAATGCACAACACACTTGATTTTATTGCACATCAGATATAAAACAAAGTGGTAGATCTGAAATATGCATCTCAAAACAAAATCTTCTTAAAACAAAATAAGAACAAAATCTTAAAGTTCATTCTTAACCACCTCCCAGAATCCCAAGCTGTCCCCAGAATATTCTGGTTTTGGTCTAATCTACACTACGTGACTTTTGCAGAATGATTCTTCACAACTCTGGCAAGTTTCTTTATCTGTTAGTTTTGTTAGATGAATGACTCCTTCCATTTTCCAGGAAGTTCTCAGAATCTTTGTATTAGAGGACTACTGTTGCCAGAACTCATTGAGCTCTTGTTGTGTTCACAGATTTTAATGTCAAAGCCAGAAATAAGCATACACCTCATTCAAGATAGTACATGCAAGCATACAGAAGCATACAAATTATTTTAATAATGTACATTACAGCAACAAAAGGAATGACATCAGAAACCTTTATTAGCATTAGACAAGAGCCTTGATTCTTAAATCATTAACCTACACAATTTCTCTTTTCGTAAACTCCCTTTAATTTCTTTGCCTATTAAATCCAACTGTTATACAAGTTGGTGTTAGATGCATCATGAAGTCACACAGAAATCCACCCATCCAGTTTAAAACATATTATCCTGGCATAACGTACTATATGGCAGTGCACTGGAGCACCACAGAGACCTACACCTTGCTCAAATGTCTTCCCATCCTCATACAATTTTTGCCTCCAGTCATCAACTGTCTTCAGAATTTTACACTTTTTGAAAACAGGTATTTCTACACCTTCTGACTAATGTTCAAGTCAGTGTGCTGTAGGACATGAATGCAAACATTTAAACAGAAACTGTAATCCTAAAAGACATCATGAAAAAAATCACCAGAAAGGTAATGAATAAAGAGAACTTAAAATTGAACTGCACATTACCACTTCCTAAATCTGTAGGTGGGAAACAACACTTCACCTTTATAAATATGGCATATCAGTTCTCTCTATTAATAAAAGAATGAGAAGATATGAAAAAGTCAAGGACATACATGAGTGAAAGTGGTGAAAGGAGGGAGAATCCTTCTAACTGTATTATGGATAGTGTCAATAGAAGTTAATTAAGTAACATCTCCACACACCCCCACATCCCAGACAAATATATATATTATTTGCAGTATTATTATCACTCTAGCAAGATTACATTTGTTCTACTAACAATCAATTATTTGTAATTCTAAGAACTATGAAGTAAATTATGATTGTCACACAAACATACATCTAAATTGTAAACAATGTTCTCGGTAAAAAGTACAGAGGCTTTTGGGAAAGTTTTGAGGAGGTTATCTGATTTTAAGACTGTCATACTTTTAAGCAAATGTAGATTGACTTAAGTAAACATTGCAGGAGGGAGCTCATGCTCTAGGCTTCACCAAGCAATCAGCAAGGCATCTGACACGCTACAGAAAACCTGCAAAATCCAGCAAATAAATCATGTAACACCCATTCAGTATCCTACAAAGCACACAGTGGGGAGCTGACACATTATTAACTGACTGTAATTTTCGCAAACTGTAACATACTAAGAGCTTTATGACATACATGTGGTGAAATATATTTTTATACATTATAAATGCACATGGGTCTAAAGCACGTTAATCAAGACACTTCAATTAACTCATTGGGTTATGTTTGTTTTCAAGTTAGAGGCATCAAAAAATGTTGAGTATTACAGTAAGTAGATTTGGGAAACACCTCCATCTCAAGACTTCAACAAAACCATCTTGATGCTGCAGTACTAGTGTGTAACACAACAAAAGGGCTGATTTGAGCAAAAGAGAACTTAACTTTGGAACAGGTTACTGTCCCAAAGCAGTGCTTCCCTTGAATATGAGCTTTTACATCAAATTATATTTTATACAAACTTGCTGAAAGCCTCCTCTTTCAACAAAAACAAATCCACAGGGGACAATACAGGTTCCAAGGAGGCCTTAATGCCATCCAGAATGAAAGAACTGAAGATGATGATACAACACAGACTTTAGATTTTGACCAAAACATCTTTCTTTTTGCCTTGTTGAAGATTTATACAACTTTACAGATACAAACCTCACCTGCCTCTTTCAGGAACAACAAAAAGCAGTTCTGAAATTGACAGAACACTGGCTTTTGAAGCCTGACATTGTTCTGCCACATAGATGAATAACTTGAGGTACCAAAGGTTCGTGGTAGAAAATGGCACTTTGCCAACTCTCATTACTGCCTGCCAACCTGTAGATAATCTTCTTGTACTGTACTTCATCTGATACTTTCACATTTACAACCCTTTACAATACTTAGCAGTTTCTATTTAAATGAAATACAAGATTAAAAAAAAAATAAACTTAAAGTAAAAAATGCTGAGAGCATTTCACTCTCTATTGTCCATTATTCTTTATTGTATCATTCTCTTTCTGCATGTAGGCCAAAAAATAAATCCAGTGTAAACATAAAAGGCAAATATCTTTTGAAGGCCAGGCAAATATTTGAAAAGCAAAATAGAGATTCTGCTTTTATCTCTAGATCACCCTACAATTTAATGGTTACTGGAGCAGGGTTTCTTTTTTTTTGTTTCTTTCTTGTTTTTTTCCTTTTCTCTTTATTTCAGGGAATGCAGCAGGGGTAGGTCCACATTTCATATCTCATAGAATGGTTACGAACGTGTAAACTATAACAATGGGATAACAAAGGTCGGATAACTATTGCGTGTTTGTTACACAGCAGAGAGGAAAATTGGCACTATCAGAAGGCTAGGAGATAACAAACCAATGCATTAAAAATGTTGATCTAACAGTATTTTTAAACTATGAAAATTATGTGCCTGACCTTGTAATGTGATGCCATTTATAAGCAAAGTCCATTCCATGGACTAGAGAGAAAGACCTGGGCCCTCAGCTATGCCAATAGGTTTAATTACTACCCACAACATAAGAAAAAAAGAGTATACAGAACTGATTTCAAAAAGTTGCTAGGTAGGATAAAGTTTTTGAAACCAAACTAGAAGACAAGAACCTTTTTTTTGTCCCTCTATTACTAGTCCATGATGCTCAGGTCACTACTGAACACAAATGTACAAGTGTACAACATAGTGGGCTGATGCTCTCAGGCCACTAGAAAATCTTTACCACACATGAATCCCAGCAATGCCTCAAGACAGATACTATTTGGTCCCTTCACTCAGAGTAGGATCATCACATACTGTTTTAAATATATATGAAAGCTGCATTGAATGCCACACTTATCTTGTGAGGAAATAAGACTTTTTGTCTGTTGAGTTCTTCATGGTGTTACCTTTCAAAAAATACGCATTGAAAAAAAAACCTGTGTAACTCTATACAATGAGAACCAGTGCTTTCTTAAATTGTTTGGAAAAAAAAAAGAAAAATCTCAGCAGTAAAATAAAGCCAAGCCATCAATGGCAACGTTATTTAAAATACTGATGCATTAAGGTAAGGGTTTTTTTATAGCAAGAACTACAGGGAAAAAAAAAAAAAAAAGAGCCAAACACTTTAGTTTATTGCTTGCGTAGAGTAGCAAGAACAAGAAGGGAAAAAGTGCAGAATATACTGATCAGAAAAAAAGGAGAGTTTTGCCTTAGGGCTCTATAATAAAATATGCGTTAAGTCTTAGTCTCTGCATAAGAAACAGTGTTAAGTAAGTATATATACCACAACGTAAAACTTTCAGCTGAAAAAGTTCACTTGGGAGAGTGAAATTTGCTACATCGAAAAGCCACCATTTGGTAGTTTGGCCCAGAGTCAGTTTCTGTTATAAGGCAAATGGTGTAACCAATGGCAAACATGAGTCTCAGTTACCCACACTCTTACATCTTCTTCTCCTATATAGATAAAATTTCCTGAGAAATAAATGTGTACATTTAGGTTCTTCATTGAATGTTTTTATATTGCATCTTATACCCATCGACAGCTGACATACGATGTAAATTCTAGAATGCTTTTTGTTGCATGATTTTTGACCTCCAAATGTTCTTCTGAACACTAATATAAAATAATTGCATAACAAAGGATTACATTTCTCTAAATTTTCAACTATATTTCTCTGTGTGATTACGGACTGATAGAGGTTATTTAAGGGCCATCTGATCTAAGACTTTTAAAAAATGTATGAACAAATATATTTCAGAAAAGTCACTCAGAATATAAACAAGAAGAAGTGACTTTGGGGTCGATCACCTATCCACTGCCTTCAAGGGTCTAAGAAAATATTTTATATATGTTCAAGCTGTAAAAGTATGTGTACTTTATTATCTTCTATTTGACAGAAAAGTGATAACACTTCTTCTAACTAAAGAGGCTTGAACAGCAAAGATTAATACTAGAAAACAGAGTTAATACTTGCTTACTCTTGTATGAAACTTTTATAGATAAAAGCTATTAAAAAAATAAATCCTTGCTAGTATTAAAAAAAAATAAAAAGCTAGCTAAGCACCTGAAAGCTATTTTGGTTAGGTTTATTTTCAGTTTTCACAATATAACTTCACTTTAAAATAGTATGGTACTCTACAGGAGAAGGCACAGAAACAATGAGAAAAGCTATTATGTTCCAGACTACCACATAAATTCAGGGCACCAGTCCATCCTGGTGAGATTTATCAAGATCCTGAGCATGGTACTACTAGAGATACTGCCAAGAAACTGATTTTCTTATGCCTTTTCCCTTGAAGGTCTTGGGGAAAAAAAAAACCAAAACAAAACAAAAAACAACAAACTAAATCAGCAAAGAACATTGATAGGATTTCTATAAACTATAAAAGCAATTTTATAAATATTTTAAGTTATAAATATCTTAGGTAGTAAGTAAACATGCACAATGTCTAATTCTCTAGCTGTTTAATATTAGAATCCCTGACAGTGCAAGGCAGAAGAACACTGGGATGCTTACAGGTCCATTGCTATCCTAGAACTGAACCATGCATTTTGTAAATAAAACTGCTAACATCAGCCTGGAAGAATTATAAGCATTCTAATCCACTACTGATTTTATTAACTAATTCTCAATATTTTTCCTTATAGTGTATTATTCCTCTAAATTCTAGAACATCATCTCTGAAAGTAGAATGATATATTAGAAGGACAATAGATATAAGGAAGTGTGAAGCTTTGTGACTAATATTAATATGATAATTATATAGGGCATGACTATGCACATATATATAAATGACCATCAGACAGATGCATGTGTGTGTTTGTGTTCATATATGCAAATACACGTACATATTTGCATATGCAGAAATATATCTAACAGACAAAATGGACTTGTATGTGTTTGTGAGTATGCTTACAAATACACATACATAAATACGTGGATAAAAATACCTATAACATGCATATATTGTTTAGGAAGACACACATATACATAATATGGAAGGAATTCACTAAGTTAATCGTTACTAATGAGGACTACAATAACTTATGTATTGTATCGTATTGCAAGAGCACAATAGTTGGGTCACAAATTTTCTAACGCATGGATCACTTCCTAGTCTGGGCCTAAAAAACACAGTATGGGTTCATGAAGCAATCTATCTTTTAGTAACAAATTCTATTTTTTCTTTCAATTACTTTCTGTGTGGTTCAGTCTCTCTAGACTTGGCTGGTATCGGTCAACCTTTTCTGCATGCTTTCAATAATTTATGAAGATGTATTCAGGCATACAGACATTTCTTAAACTAAAACAGTTGCTGCAATGCTGGAGCTGCAGAAGTAAAATCAGAATATTATGACGGATTAATTGAAATTATGCTAAATATTAGTTATGTTTCACTAGTAAAGATGAAATAAAGTATCATTCTCTTTAAATATGCCTCTACACTACTGAAAGTGTGTCAGCAATTTTGCTTCTGTGATTTCTATGATCACCTACCATCTAAGGTATGTTGATTGTATCCTTAAAGGCTAATAATGTAATAGTGCAAAAAAAAATCAGAAAAAGGTTCAATAATTTATTTTCTGGCACCAAGCTTCCTTTCTAATTTATTCTCTGAAAACATCAATTTTAGGAAAATGGGAAAATAACATTTCTCATGCAAGGCAGAAATTATTATTGATAATAGCACATGAAATAGTCACTTCTTACTCTTTCTTTGCTTGCTATAAACAGCTAAAAGCAGATAGCAGAAAATAGAAGGCATAGTAACTCTGGAATATATGTCACATCTGTAGGGTGCAGGAGAGAATAACCCTAATTAACCCATACACTAACTTCAGAACTGTATCACAATAGCTGAAAGCAGAATCTGATCTTCTTGGAAGCAAAAAGCTGCTATCACTGATTATTGTTGTAGTTGACTTTGACATCAATTCAAAAACTTTGCTCTTTTTTTGAAATAGGAAGCCTAGGCAAGTATGCACTGAATGCCTGGATCTGAATCCTGACAAGCAAGGGAGGCTTATTATTCTCTTTCTTACAACA